TGTTAAAAAGGAGGTGCGGGGATGCATCGTCAAGTCGTAAAGGATGCTTATTATGTAGGTGGAGCAAGATTTCCTCCATCCACAGCATGACCAGCTTATCGCCAAGACGCGGCGGGCACTTCGTCCAGCGAGGCTTACCTCAACAAGAGACCCAGAAGAGCTGGTGATAAAGAACACGGTGCAAATTGGGCCTTAGGCCCCGAAGAACCTCCGTCGAACATGGCGGTGTGACTTGTAAACCGTGCTTGCTTGCTGCGTGCATCTCCCTGCCTGATCTATGTGTTCCTGATATTTGTAACTTGCACGATGCTTGTCAAAGGCTATGTGTGTCAGAGGTTCTGACATCCGTGCAGGACTTAAGTCAGTGGAAAATGCTGAAGCTCGAGCCGGAACATGGACGGAAGAAATCGCAAACGGTCAGAACACAAGCATAACAACTCTGCGAACAAGAGCGTGCAAATGCGTGCAGCCTTAAACAGTTCACGGCAGCACTGTGGGGCTGCTGCAGCCACGTCTTGCTGTTGCAACTGCTGCATGCAGACACTGTTGCAACCCACCCCAATCGCCACCATCACCACAATCACAACCGGTCCCACCAGAACTTCCCAGACCAAGGGCCACGCGCGGGGGCAGATCTGGCCTCAGGATAGGCCAGCTATTTCCGCCGCCAATATTGTCAGACTGAGCTGCTAACTGTCGAAGATGGCGACGAGCTCGGGGGCGGCGGGAGGGCCTGAGCACATGAAGTCAAGCAAGGTCCACTGCCTGAAACTACCATCCAGGCATGCTCCCAGTTGCATGAACCCGTCCAAGGAACAGCGGAAAAACAGCTGAGACTCGCACAATCCGTTGGCGGCCGTCCGGCAGGGCTTTGGCCTGTGACAGCAGGATTGCCCTCGAAGATGCCTGCAAGAAACCAGCTCGACTCTGGATAGCTTGCTGTGAAAGCTGCCTCTTCTTCCTCCTCTTCCTCGCCACTGTCCTCTTCAGCTTCCAAACAAGGATCGGAAAGTTTGGCACAAAACCCATCTTGAACCCCTGCTACACAGTGCTGCTGAGCTCTCCCCCATGTTTCGTGCAAGGGAGCTTCATCCTGCTACACTACAGCTTCTGCTTACTACTGTTCTTGCTCCTCCTCCTGCTGCCGCTACAACCATCACTCCTCTAATAGCTGAAATAACAACCACGGCCACCACTTTATTTGGATCTCCAGATTCAAGCCTGGTTCCGAAGGTTCAGGGCACCGGCTCGAAGCAGCATGGGCCACAAGACAAGGGTAGTCGTGAGGGTGTCAGTTTGGCTTTGAGGTCCTCGTCCTCCTCATCCTCACCCGGCAAGCCTTTGGCGGCAAGACGTGCTGGGCAGCAAACTTATTAGGATCCAACTGTTTTGTTTGCAAGACCGTCGTCAGGGTCTTGGTAAGCAAGGGGCCGCAACGGCGTTGTCACAACAAAATGTGTTAGGCCAAGGCCAAGGCAGTTTCATAACAGCAGGATCTAAATATGTTTTGAGTTGCAATCCATGATTTGGGGGAAACCCAGTCACTGACCTATGAAGGGAGCCTGGCAAAGGGTCACAATAATGAAATTCCAAAAAGTCAATCAAATTGAAGCCCTGGCCTGGACAGCAAGCGAATGACATGAGTAACTTCTTTCGCTTGCATCCAGGCTTCAGATATCGAGCTATCAATCGCATACTCAACCGCGTGTGGAACAAAATGGCCCAACAAATCTACAAAGGCTACCCTTACCCAGCCTGCTGATCAGAAAAGTCAAGGGATGCGATAACAAACTCATCACGGGCATGCCAATTCTATAGATCCTGCTAAACACTTGTTGTTTTGAAGCCCTCATCTTAGCTTCCACAAGCCAGCTAAGAGCAAATTCCTTTTTCGTTCTGACCCAGACCTTTCTTTACAGATTGGGGCCGGGTGGTCTTAAAACAACCCCGACAATACTAGCTCCAGCCCACCGCAGCCTTCATCAACCAGCTGCTCCAGCCAGGTCAGCCTCAGCACGGGTGGCCAGTAGGTGCCAAACTAAGGGTGAGGGATCATTTTGGAAAACCGATTGGCGTCATTTTGGAAAACAGATTAGCGTCATTTTGGAACACCGATCAACGTCATTTTGGAAAATAAATACCAGAAAGGGATCATTTTGGAACGCAAGATATCTAATTCTCATTGCCCCATCAGTCAAAGCTTTGCCCCATTAGTCCAAGGATCGTTCCAAAGTGCAGGCGCAGATGTCTACGTCGCGTTATTTACCACCTAACATCCCTTTGGGTCCCGTGCTCCATCACATTCAAGGCATGCTTGCTTCTTTCCACAACGATGACTGCTTGCTGAGTGTGGGACATTGCAGAATTCACTTCCTCTCCCGTGACAAGCATCTCTGGATCCTTTTCTGAGGAACTGAGGGTCGCTTGTTTTAGCGGCCACGGTGGATTCAGGAAACAGGCGGGTTGCAAACCAGTATCCTTGCAAATGCTTTCAGGCCTGACCTGCCACATCACATGAGCCAGCCTAGCCACCTTCAACACAATCAGGGCTCGCGATGCATTTTCATTTCAACTGTATCACGAGACATTTAAGCCAGCGCTGTTGATAAAACAGTTCCGTGGAATGCCATTACATGGCTTGGCATCATGAACCTTGGTGGTATGGCGCCGGTATTTCTTTAAAAGAGTGCCAACGAACGGTGCATAAAATTCGTTGAGCAATACAACCGATCTGAAACTCAAGCTACCAAGAACAACAGAGGCAGTGCAGCACCCCATCGAGCGTGCCTCGGGTAGTTGTCGTGCCTGCTTGCCTCAGCCGTGATTCCGCATCACGGAGCTTTTGCTTCCAAATCTGGACGAGCAAGCTTGGTGAAAGTTCCAGAGAGCCCTAATAGCCCAAAGACACCGTCAGAAAGCAAAGGAATTGAAGCACAGTAAGTTTTGCTATGGTAGTTAGAGCAGACCGTTAGGAAGAAGGTGTTTGGGTTTCTGTAATTTCGGGACATGGCGAGGCACGGGTGTCGATCCTCCACTCCTGAATCGCCTAAACTCGGCCTAAACCCTTGACTCTGACCCCTTCAACCCTAAACCCTGGACCCCAACTAACCAAAGCCCCAACAATCCCCTCTCAGATACGTCGAAATTCTCAACATCGTAAACTCTGGGGTTTTGGCGCCAGAACGCCTCGCCCTCAATGCCAGTGAGAGCCATCGTGCGGCCAATGAAATACCTGGAATATGGGACCCTGCTTTCCAAACACGAAACACAGGCACTCTCTCGCAGGTAGGGTTATTTGAGGACGGTGGCAACCTTGACAATGTAGTGCACGGCTTGTGCAACAAAAAACCTACTTCACAGGATGCAGGATTGCCTCCGACACTTTCACGTCTTCATGGGAAATTTCAGCCATGGTCAGATTCGTTGGCCCTCTTGCCTTCGTGATCTACATATATATATATACATATGTTCATTCGGGAATTGGTACCTCTCTCTTCTTCTTGGTATATCTCCCTTCTTCCCTCTCTCACTTTTCATTCTTTCTTTCGTTCGGGCAATGGAGTCAGCGACTTGCGCTGACCCCAGGGGTCCACTCCCCTGCCCTTGTTGGGCATGAGCTGTTGGTTGCTGCGTCACTATGGCCTTTTCCATATTCCAGCTAAGAGCCCTGGTTGAGATTGCGAGGCACCAAAGGGGTTCTGTCCTTGAATGTTGGCCTGTGGTAACTTGAAACTGTCCAAATTTCCCCCTGAGCTTGAACACTTCACACGTTCTGTAACAGACTAAGTCGGTTGCACGGCTTTGAGACAAGGCTGTATGTAGGTACCGCGGCGCACCGCAAAGGTGCTTCAAGCCCGGAAGTGCTTACAGCGTACTGCTGATACTGGGAAAAGTGTTAGTACCTTACCATCACATGGGCGTATGTAACGGGTTGAACACATGCGAATTATGCAGTGAATTCATTCACTGTTGGCGGAACCATGTCAGGTAGCCGAATGGTGTATACTCAGACTGCGAGGTTGGTAGCTGTTTGGGTCTAGTCTGACTACGAGGTTGGTAGCCGTTTGGAGTCTACAGAGACTTTGCAGCCCATCCCAAACGGATGGTTCAAAATTTCTCGGAAAGGTTGTCCCTCTCTCTCTCTCTCTCTCTTTCTCTTTCTGAGAGGGGGGCCTCAGCTCCTGCACACTGAAGGAAGATCGGCGGTGCGACACCTGGAACATATTTGGACGGATAGGCGAGCACTAGCTGTCTGGCAGTATTCCATGTCTTTGCACCTTGCAAGGGGACCAGTAAAGATCTGATGATCTGCAGTAGGGGCATACGAAATCAGTGAGGACTGCTGATGAACCATGCAAGAGCCGATAGTGGCTGAGTATTCCAGGTCGTTTCCCTTCACGAGCATTTGCCTATGTTGCCTCCCCCTGATCTTAGACACTTGCAACGCACAACTTTCAATGCGCCTGCCAAGATTTATACACACAAGTGCATGTGTATATATATATATGTATCTATATCTATATCTACATACATATGTATATGGGGTCCTTATGAGATCATGCCTTCCCTCCCGCCCAACGTGCTAAACATCTGGTATAAAGAGGTACAGTAGGGGGCGACCAAAATTACGGGGAGTGACTCTCAGTTCTACACGGGCCGCCACGATTGCAGTGGCTTTGGGAAG